TTACAATTACAGCCACACGAAGCAACCTTGACGCAGCCATTACAATGCGATCTGCAGAAACTGAGTTGTAAAATGCAATAGAACTACGCGCAATGGCGTCGGAAATTGTAGCTCCAAAACCGGATCTCGACGCCAGAGCGAAAAAAAGACGATTTTGAAGCATTTTTTAAAAGGATTTTTAGAAGGAAAATCACTAGCACCAAAATGGAGAAAATCTGCTGATAAATCACCGTGGCAGCCTTCATGCAGCCACTCCAATACAATTTACGAAGTCCAGCTGCAAAAATCAATAGTATTATGAATGCAGCCACAGTACGAAGCAACCTTGACGCAGCCATTACAATGCGATCCGCAGAAACTGAATAATAAACACAATAGAACTACGCGCAACGGCGTCGGAAATTGAAGCTCCAACGCCATACGTCGACCGCGCATGCACGAAACACAGGTGGAACCCCATTTAGAATGCGGAACCGATCCGACCATGAGCCGAGCATGATCCGACCATGATCTGAGCATGATCCGACCACACACGAGACCGTTTCGCACCCGTCGCACCGCAGAGGTAGATCATCGAGGTTCGGGGACGGACTTTGGATGGAAAAATATAGGGTTTCGTACATCTATTATTAAAACATAGGAATTCGTGTTCGCACGAAACTTCCTTCAAAACTCCATCGGCAACTCCTCCACCAACGCCACTTGTAATCCCATTTACATTGCGGGAACGATCCTATAATTACAAATCGCAATGGAATTCTGTCGACCGTACATGCACGAAACACAGGTGAAACCCCATTTACAATGCGGAACCGATCCGAACATGATCCGAGCATGATCCGCACGCACGAGACCGTCTCGCACCCGTCGCACCGCAGAGGTAGATCATCGAGGTTCGGGGACGGACTTTGTATGGAAAAACATAGGGTTTAATTTTGTGTATTTGCTATCTCTTAACAACACATTTCGTGCGAGACTTCCTTTAAAATTTCATCGGCAACTCCTCCACCAGCACCACTTGCAATGCCATTTACATTGCGGGAACGATCCTACAGTTACAAATTACAATGGAATTCCATCGGCAACTCATCCACCAGCACCACTTGTAATTCCATTTACATTGCGGGAACGATCTTATAATTACAAATCACAATGGAATTCTGTCGACCGCACATGCACGAAACACAGGTGAAACCCCATTTACAATGCGGGATCGATCCGAATATGATCCGTCCATGATCCGAGCATGATCCGACCACACACGAGATCGTTTCACACCCGTCGCACCGCAGAGGGAAATCATCGAGGTTCGGGAACGGACTTTATATGGAAAAACATAGGGTTTCATACATCTGCTATATCTTAAAAACGCATTTCGTGCGAGACTTCCTTCAAAATTCCATCGGCAACTCCTCCACCAGCACCACTTGCAATGCCATTTGCATTGCGGGAACGATCATAGAATTACAAATCACAATGGAATTCCATTGGCAACTCATCCACCAGCACCACTTGCAATTCCATTTACATTGCGGGAACGATCCTACAGTTATAAATCACAATGGAATTCTGTCGATCGCA